ACTCTCTGAAACTTTGCCGCACAGTAAGTACCTACTGGGAATGTGTACTTTGTGCAGAAATAAAATTTATATGAGAATTAAAAAATACACTAAAGATATCAAAATCACTCACGCCGATTTTAAATCGAGAATTGCGTTTGATTTACACTTTCTACCTTGTATATTTTGGGATAGATATTTAAAACAATATTACTCCCTTGAGATCTGAGTGGCTTTCTCGACTTTATATCAAGATAACAATTTTTAAGAAGAAATTTCAAAATCGGAAGTGATTGACAAATCTAATGAATTTTTATTATTCTATTGAATTCTAGTCGTAGCGTCACAGTTATCAGTGAACAAAATTGTTTTCTAGGGGCTTCTCTAAGAACAAGTAAAGTTAATTAAAGGAAATAGGTTACTTGTGGCCGCAGGCGATAAGCAACCAGATAAGTAGTTACTTTATTTCACACGAACGCTAATATATTACCTAAGGTTACTCACAGAAAATAGGCATTTCCAAAGATTTAAAAGCAAGATTCGTTTACATCAAAAACCAGATAAGTATATCCCTGTCCATGTTAATCTTTTTTCGGCCATCGTAAATTGTAAAACTGAAATCCATCTTGTAGTTTGTCTGCCGAAGTTATATCTTTGCTCTTCCTGCTCAAATAACCTTGATAATAAAAGCTAATAAATATAAAACAACATCTCAATTGAGATACAAAGGTCATCTCAACTGACTCGATACACATGTGTTCACTAACAAAATATTGCGATGTAAAAACAGTCGATAGTAAATATGAGCTTTTTATAACTACATACCTACTGCGTAGTGTAACGACGCATCTTAATACCGATACCTGTATAAACAGATGAAAGCAACAAAATTGATCATTGGAATGTCAAAACCACGGCTCGACCAATGCAACTAATTTTGTTTAATATTTTCGTTAAGGCATTAAGAAGATTCTAATGGAGAGAAAAAAAACGTCAAAATGACGAGGAAAATAATAAAAAGTGTTGTTTAAAATGACACTTTTTTATAATATTTTCTAATATAATATTTTATAATATAATATTTTTATAATATAATAGTTTATGTTGTTTAATATTTTCGTTAAGGCATTAAGAAGATTCTAATGGAGAGAAAAAAACGTCAAAATTACGAGGAAAATAATATAACGTGTTGTTTAAAATGACACTTTTTGTCCCATACAAACCACAGAGAAAATTCAAACACCTGTCCTTGACTGTCAAACTGATTATCTTTGGTATACCTTCTTGTTGATTAGGGTGTAAGGATATTAATCTATGCCTGCCCAAAATAAAGTTCGAAGAATTAATAATGATATATTCTTAAAGTAACCAGATGTCTTACTATATAATTGTCACAATAACCACATGTTTTGTGTTCATGACGTGTTGGAATATTTTGTTTTGTGTTGCGTAATAGTTTCGTTATCCTCAACATGTTTACTCAGAATTCGAACATATTCTGAACCTTGTGCAATAACAGCCGATTATTTTATTTTCTTCGCGATAAACTGGAAGCCACTAGAGTAAAATCAGATTTAGGGTATGTTTGCCTTTTATTCTAGTGAGTTAATGAATAAGACAGAGCTTAAGTGTCATAAAACGAGATCTGAAGGAAAATTCTTAGTTCCGATCCACTAAACACTCAACGTTGACTGTTATGTGATTGTATTGGATTGTGACAGAAAGTTGAATTGGTATTCTTAGTCTTCTAGTCTTAGTAATATTTTACTACTTTACTACTTACGAGAATACCTTTTATGACATTTGTTAGATAGAGAGTAGATTGGAACAGAATTATGACCGATTTTTTTAACAATAATTGACCATCAGTACGAGTTACAGTACGAGGCGGTTTCAATCTCACTCGGAAACTACTAAAAATAAAGTTTATGAAAGCTTTAATATGTAAAAATCGATAGTATTCAATCATTTCTACATCTTAGTCATGTCTCCTTTACTTACGTGGGCGATAGCAGTTTGACTAAAAGTATAAAAAATCTATATCATGGACGAAATAAATAAAGTTTTATCACACAAGACTTGCCTATTCTAAAAATAGAATTGTTCCCTTGTGAAAGTGTTTGTTATTTTTGTGAATCAAATACATATGACGTATTCAGTAGCACGTAAAGATCTCGGCTACTTTCTATTATTGTGGGGTGCTGCGGTAGGTCACGCATTGCGATCTTTGTTTTTATTTATCTTCGGACCAAAGTACTTTAGAATTCCTTTCTAGTAAAGTTTAAGCGTTTTACTACTAAAAATATACCTAACATTCTTAAGGGCCAGCCCCATTCAACCTATTTTCTTATTACTTTATTAAAATTAGTTATGACTGGGTTTGTGTGGGAGTTGATTTTTGTTAGGAATGTAGTAGACGTTTTCGTTTGACGCCACAGTAATACGTAAAACGCTTCACTAATTACTTACTTCACCAGCTGACCTGCCGGTTTTATGGTCAACTAAAGTGAAAATGTTAGTAACGTTTTTTGAGAATATAAACGATATACGATATATACGAAGATACACGAAAAGGCTGCATACCGTCCTTAACAATAAAATAATTGCAATATATTGTACGGGGAAAAATGAAATAGAGCTAAGGGAGCAAACTACGCAGGACAACAGCACTGCAAAACAAACAACAACAAACCCTATACCAACCTGTCTGTCCAGCGTTTTATGGTAGGCGAAAACTTTCTTAGGAGATGCCTATGTCCAGCAGTGGACTACTAAAGGCTGTTGATAATGATGATGATGGAGGGGAAAAGTTGGAAAGAAGGGAAGGCAATATGTCTGTCACCTGTAGGTAATAGGTAGAAAGTTGGATTTTCCCAAAATGTATTTTTCTATGGCGCCCTTACAAGGAACTTATGTTTCAAATTGTTTAAATTAAAACGCAATGCCAAACCATTGCACTAGGACAATAAAGGCCGATATCAAGTTAAAATCCTTTCGATAATGCCCATTTCTGGTGTAGTATAATTAAATTAGCAATATACTATTAAATAGAAAAGACCTTCCAATTCATTCATTATTCATACGTTACGTACGTTACATACGTTTTTCTGGATGAAAAGTTACTAATTTTATTAGAACTCAAATTTGCATTTATAATCTTAGTTGTAATGAATTTGTATAGATAGTTTCACTTAAAACATACATTTGTAGATTCTTTAAATAACTTACACGAGTGCCTTTAGTTAGTTTGTCCTATTGTTGTAAGTTTTAGAAGAAGACAGATGGAGGGCAGTGCCAGACATTCAATCTAAAAGTAGTTTTTGACTTAGTTCCGTTATTTGTACTTTCCAGCTAAAGTTAGACTTCAAGTAGTCAATTTTACAACTACAAACAAATTTGTGCTTCAAATTTTCTAATTACTCAAAGGTAAACCTCATTACTAGTAATAAACTTCAATACTTGCAATTATATGTATAGAATATACATTTTTAATCGTAGCCTATCGTATAGATCACATCGACAGCCTTTAATAGTCCACTGCTGGACATGGCCTCTCCTTATCGTATAGATGAACTATACAAATAAATAAAATTGAAGTGTCTGTTTGTAATGTCAAAATAATAGGTTTTTTCATGCTCACACGGTTACTTGCACGATACCTATGCCAAAAAACCAGTTTATTTATTTTTTGTCTCTCTGTCTGTCTGTTTGTTCCGGGTAATCTTCTAAACGGCTGGACCGATTTTAATAATATTTTAATACCAGGTAGCTGTCTATATAAGGAGTATCTAGGCTATTTTTAATCCCAGAAAAACCCTTTAAAATTTTGCCCGGTCCGGTTATCGAACCTAAGCATTTTTCAAATTCCACGCGAACAATGTCGCGGGTACTAGTTAGTTGCTAAATAAAATTAATAATTTAACAATAATCTCTTCATCTATAATTTTCCAACGACGGTGTAACAATAGAGACAGACACATAGCTGCTCAATTCATGCAGTACAATACATCCATTATTAGGTCAAACCTCACCCTCGTTGCCTGAAGACGTTTCACTGTTACGACACATGGGAATACGAAATAAGTTGTATGACCTCTTTACTGTTTCATTAAGTACGTGTTTCGAATCAACAAATGCCATTTTACAATATACACCATCTATAACTTCAAACCCAAACCAAATCAGCTACATCGATGTAACGTAAATTTTGTATGTGTAAAATATTAAACACGCGATATTCAACTTCCACGAGTGCAATAAAACACGCAAATTATTTGAAATCTCTATCGAAATATCATGTCAACTTCGTTAAGACAGAGAATCATAATAAATACCAAGGACGTACATCTCTACGAAAAAGAATCACGAAAGTATTATAAAAACGTCGTTTATAGGTAATCGTGCATAGTACATTTGCCAAATTTTATGCGGATCTTTATTTAAGCGGTGATTCGGAACAATTGGATCGATCAGTCGGGCACGCCAACACGATAACTTTTTGTTAGAGTTTCGAAGAAGGTGCATGGTTTGCAAGCAGTCACTCGTGACAGCACGCGGCTGCCGCTCGTCCCGAGCCACACCCAACACGTGCTCTCGATACAATCGATTCGAGATAGCTACCCGCGCTCGTTAAGCTGGCAGGTGTCCATAGGGAAGCTCGCGATATTCCCTTGCGGGCGAAAAGTGTTTGTCTAGCGGAAAGACCACGGTCTAAGTATGCTCGTGCTATTTGTAGTGCTGATTCTAACCGCTTACGTTTTACAGATAAACAATTCTATCGAAGTCAGCAACCGTTTGCAGCCGATATTAAACGTCGGAAAAATTCTTTGGCTCATGTAGTAGTTAAAAAACAGAATAGAAAAATTGTAGAAAAAGTTCCATTTGCGGTATCAGTACAAAATTTATCGCTACCTATGAAGTACGCAGACGAACCGAATAGTAGTCATTCAACCTCCAAACCTTCTCAGAACTATCGACGGATCGATGTTAACAAGACTAAGCGTTATAATCTTCCTAAACAGGTCAACGTCAACAAGAGGCTGTGTAACACCAACGGCTGCGGGAAAGAGACACAGAACAAACTGTTGGTACAGATCAGTGAAGCCGAGCAAGTGTCTGACTTTGAAAGGATTCTTAATTCTAATGCAATATTGTGTGAGCGAGTGCGCGGGCACGTGTGGCATGGAAGTGTTGCCGAACAAAAACGATCAGCATCTGTGTTGCCGAGGCCTCGTTCTGCCTACTCCCTCTACGCCGTAAGTCAAGCCTACCATTACCTGTTCCGTCAGCACGAAGAGTCTCTTGAACCGCTGATTGAACAATATCGCAAGGCCAACGCCGAGGAAAAACAAACCCAACCTAGTATATTGGAAAATAATTGGTACGAGAACCTTCGAAACTTATCCGAATTTTATGAAGACGACCAAGTATTAAAAAAAGAACTTAATGACATAACAGACCGTGTAGTCTCTGAACAAATTAAATCTCAAGAGGAATCACAACGGACTAATAGAAATAACAAGAACTTTAACGTGAATTTAGCTGGTCTGATTGGTTTACATCTCACCGGGGAGTGCATATCTGCGAACCGTGAGCCATCACCTGACCTAGACAAGGCCAACATAGAACAAGAGGAGGAATGGCTGAAATCGATTATGAGCGTAAACTCCGATGACCGCCACCCTCAGAGCGATAACAAAGTGGATTGTTTAGCACAAAATTTGGAGTCTGTTAAAATTGATAGTGAGGCTAAAGTTCCCACAATAACGTTTAGCAATTGTTGCGACGGGTACGCGAGAAGTGACCTACCGAACAATAACGACGAACATCTGGCTGTGCCCACCATTGAAAGCATTGATGAGGCACGCCCGCCGATTATGTGATACGTTTTGATTGATCAATTGACAATTACACAAAGAATTAATCAACCAAAATGATCGCTTTAGAAGCGGAACAGTCCATTACGACAGAGGAACTTATGCCTAAACCGGACTCTGCCACAGCCCATCCGCAGAGAACACTGACAAGATCCAGTGCGGTCAGTCAAAAATCTGTAGAAATTATGGTGCACCCGGAAGGCTCCAACAACCCTCTGCATAGATCGAAATTAGCTCCTACCAGGTCGTCATCAGAGACGCAATCCTCGGGCAAAAAAATCATAAATTTGAGAAAAACCAAAAACTCATCAATAGAATCAACAATGAGCTTACCTAATCAGAAATCCTTAGAAAAGAAACACGGTGGGCTAAGACATCAGAAAGCGGTAGTTGCTGCACATTCTGATATAACTTTAAGCACTCAGCCTTCCATAACGGACGACAGGAAAGCACTGAGGGAGGCGCTGTACCAGGGTATCTTCCACAGGCACAGGAGGACGATATTTGCGGTGGGCTCGTTCCTGAGGATGCTGAGAAGCAAAACGTCCAACTACGATTCCATACGGTCTGACTCCGACGAGATATAGCACCCATAGATCGTCTAAGTGTATTTTTTTAAGTAAAGAAATGGTGCCACAGACTGATTGTGCTTTGTAAGGAGAGAAAAATGTTATAAATAGTTTATAAGAACATTGTGTTTGTATTAAAATGTTCCTAATTAGTTGTGACTGAGTTTTTTGTTGACCCCGCTTGGAGAAGCAGTAGTATACGTATAATGGTTGTTATTGCGTGTTTGGAACGCGTTGATCTGGAATAACATTGGTTTCATTAGGTGACTTGTCATTCAAATGTTAATATATTGTTTGGTGTTGTGAGAATAGCTGTAGGTCATTATTGTTCACAATATGTATGGCAAACATAAGTATAAGTACTACTTACCAGTTTACATTCGATAACTTAAAATAAATATAATAATATATTCATACAAGTATTTGCAGATCTATTCTTGGCGCTTACCGCTTCAAACTTTAAGATTGCGATGGCTTGTCTACAAAATAAAAATATCGAAATGCATTTGACGTAGTAAATGTATGTGTTTTTGTCAATTTGAGCATTATTTACAAGAAAGTCTTCTATAGAATATATTCAGAAAAAAAAATAGTATACTTATATTTTATATATTTATATTATATTTAAATATATATGTAATATAAGTTTCATTTATTTTAGTATTTATAGTATAATTTTATTCAAACATCAAATGACACAAAAAGTATATTCTATTATTTTTAATAGTACGTAATATACACTGAGACTTCCTAATTTAACTATTAAATATGTTTAGGTAAGCTAAAAAAAGCTTTACACGACCTTAATTCTAATACAAATTAAATATTTAAATTACCATGCAATACTGTATCGTGACAGTGATCTGCAAGAAAATTAAGCAATTTCATCAAGTTCATACTTATTTGTATTGAGATAAGCAGTCATTAAATCCTTTACTTGTTGTTGTCCTGTCCTGTACAGTTGTTGAAGTCAGCAAAAATCACAATGTAACAGGGTACAAATAAATGCCATTAAATAGTTGACAGTTTGACCTGGAATTATCATATCGCGTGAGTGCGTTCAAGGGTACTCGCCATCCGGTCACCTTGACTTTTTTAACTGCGTAAATTATATGAAAATCCGTTTTAGTAAAAATACGATACTCAAAGTCCGAGCATTTTAGTTCGAAGACTGAAATGAATGACAGCGTAAACTAATAAGAGCTTATAAACTTTAAATGATCATAATGGTGATCGAGCCATGTTCTGACTTTATGACTGTAATTTTTTTCTTTTTTTTCTGTATTTTGTTTAAGTTAAAATATTTTCACCTCACAGGTTCCTATTCTTTATTATATATCTTCGTGTTTCGATGATACATAACTCCAATGCGAAGATATTGTACCTGCTAGCTCCTCTTGGTGAACAGAGATACAAAAGCTATATCATACAACTAACTCTCAACCTCCCCGCCTTCCATGTGGCGGGACGGTCAAACCCATTGTAGGTGCCGCTGACCATTGTTAAGCAAATAAACCGCTCGCAACTAAAACTGCGTCATTTCAACACAAACATTGTATTTTATTATATCTGCCGTGAGATCACAATAAATATTTAGTCAATATATTCAATTTGAAACAATGAAAGTAATGTTATTTCACGGTCAAAATGTTATAAAATGTAAGTAAATGCGCGTTTTAAGGGACTATTTGAACTACGAACAGACATAATCATCAATAACATTTAAAATCTACTATTATAATTGTCAAACATTTATGTGTTATTATTATTAAATCAATACAGGATATGTTTCATTGTATTCACTGTTTGTTTTACAATTTAAAATAGGAGTAAATTATAGTCAATAAAAGAGGTATAGTCTTTGATAAACTAGATCAAATTGCAAAGCTTCAAGTTGTACATCCAATTGTACAAACGCTATGTTTTTGATTGGCAGACAATGTTCACCACTGTCAGCCATTCACTCGCTGACAAGACATTAATGACTGGCATGATGAATTGTAGCCATTTGCAATACAAGAAGCAAGAAGGTATATACTAATTCATTGTCTGTTGTTCGACCAAGAAATTCATTTTTCATCATTCGGTCTGTTCCATTTTCAAATATTTCGTTTAAAATTAAAATGTTACGCTTCTAAACGAATAGAGAGCTTAAAAGTTAGAAGATTCATACCTATTGATTAAAATGTTCAGTTTCTTATTTTGTTTTGCAATGGTTGTTAGTGATATTAATACGTAGATATTAGTGGCGGAACAATGGATTGTTGGAGACACATTTTTGGAACATTTTATGCACTTTTTTATATATTTGTACATCCGACATTTTGTCCAACGTGTTGTTGTGAAATGTAGAAAATTTATTAATGGCTATACGTCTATCAATGGCATCAAGTGTTTGGGGTATTTTTTTATTAAAAATGTACACGCCTTTATTCATTAACTGTTCTGTGTCTTCTTAAAGTATATATGTATTTTGACAAAAATGTATATCAAAAATCTAGTTTTTGAGAAGAATGAACTTAACACCGATACGACAGTATATCTCAACAAAATATCAGTAGATTTCACATTGAATGTCATCAGCATTTACAAATATGTATGTTTGACCTACAAATTTGCTTTCTTCTTCTAATTTACTTCTAACAATTCATTTAAAAACTTAGTGAAACTCATCCTTTCCAAAACTTGGCAAAATTCTTCATTTTAGGATTAGTTCGATGTGCAGTCAGACATGCGTTATCCACGATTTAGTTATTATAGTTGTATATTAGCTACACAAATGTAAATTAAAATAGAGAACTTGTCGGTAAATTGTAAACAAAATGGTCCGAACGTAAACGAAGAATATTTTAAATATATTAAACACTGTTAACAGAAAATGCAAAAGGGATAATCATTTTTTAAAGGAAGTTTAGTATCCTCCAAAGTGAGTGCTTTAAAGTTGGTTAGAGTTGGTGGATAGGAAAATAGACATATTTGTGGATACTACATAATTATACACAAAAAAATATATAGAAGAATCTTGTCAGTTTCTTTAGACACTGCCACTAGAGACGAGAAAGATTAGAACTTACTTTATTAAATTAATCATTTAAAAGAAATACACCTGTGTGCCATTGATGAAATGTATATCTTAAAACATGAGCTTTGTAATAAATAGCTTTTTTACACGATACAGTTAGTTTAATTTAAAATGATATTGTTTTAAGCTAATGTCATAGTTTTGGTCAGAGTACCCTAGATACAGGGCTATGATGGTCAGGCATGTTAATAAACTTTTGTGTTGCTAGTTAAAAATACCCTAATTATGAAATGTATTTTTTTTTATTTTACGTTAGACTTTATTTGCTAAAATAAGTTATTCTATTTACTTTTTATCTTTTTTTTTTTATTTTGTATCCCTTATTCGATAATTAATTTTACTAATTATCATAATTATAAATTTAATTGTTTGTGGTGTTCATATTCATGACATTGATTGTAAATGTTGTCTATAAAAATATAATTTAACATTTCAATAAAAAAAAAGAAAAACTGATAAATTGAACCACTCTTACCACTTAAGAAGACTTATATCAATTAAATTTTATTTTTCCATACATAATACTAATATTAAAATTATTATTGGTTATTATTATTATTGGGTAAAGTGTAAATAAGTTAGGTAGGATTTAACTATTGAAGTTCTAAATAAGTTTGTAAACTAGATTATAATTTTTAAAAAAGTTAATTATTTTCATTATTTTGTAAATTAAAATTAATTACATTCCGTAATGCAGTTTACATATTGTAGAGAAGATAGTAACGTAAATTAATCTGTCCGTTGCAAGTACAGTAAATAAATAAGACTGCGTAAAAATTATGAAAAAAACATGTTAGCCAATAAAACTTTGTGTTGTCTTCTGTAACATTTTTCATTATGTAATTACAGTACTGGTATTACACAAATTGTTTTATTTTAATCCCCAAGGATCTTCTAGTAATAACGGTAAGTGATTACAATTATAGAAGTATAATAACGAAGAGGAGCAGGGACTAATCCCTTAGGACTAGGAGAAAGTGATTTTGTATTTCACATTCTAACTAACTTTTCACATACACCTTGCAAGAAGTAAGGAAAAGTTATTATCATATATATATATAGATATATATAGTTAAAGTTATGTGGGTACAAATTACTGATCCCTAATGATTTCTGAACTGATCGTTGCAAAATCGTTTTTTTTTATTAAAAAAAAAGTTTTTTTTATTAACTGAAATAAATGGTAAGTAATCTAGCAACACCAGTATTTGGCAGGCATTCTAATCAGTAAAAACAAATAAGGCAAAACTATTTGTACTCGTAAGTAGAGCTGAATAACAATCTGAGGTTCTAAGAGACCGATTTCATCAGTTTCGGAGATTTAAAAAAAGTTGGGTTTAAAACCAATTCCTCTACAACTAATATGTATTGCTCATATTTTCAGCCGTGATTTGCATCATCCTATCGCCGTCTACTGCTGAACGAAGGTCTTTCCCAAGGAGCACCAACTATCCCGGTCTTGGATCTTGTGATTTACATACAAGCACACATACTACTACTTCCCAGATTTCAACCACGGCTGCTTGACTGAACATCGGTTTAGGTCACTTTTGGTAGGGCACAACAAATTTGAATCAATCGGGACTGCATGCTTAATTGTCGAAAGGCATATCTAAACCTTATAAAATACCATAGTTAAAAAGTCATACACTCTTTTTCTTTACGATTTCTATACGACTCTGCTGATAAACAAACGGCACACTTGATGAGCATTAAGATGTTTGAAACCAATAATTGCTGCAGTGCTTGTTTGCAACTGAGGGTGTAATTATTTATTAATGTTAGAGCAAAATGAATGTTAGAGCAAAATATCAACAATAAAAACAATATTGACACAATATAAAACAACAAAGCAGCATTATGTTCTTACTGTTACGAGCAGGGTATTCAATAAATAAGTCGGTTAATCGGTCGGTAATTATAAAAATACTTAAAT